GCTTTCTAACAGCTCTCTCTCTCTCTGCTGGTAGCTCTGATGCAGGATCTTGGCTGATCCAAAACCAGGCTTCTGGCTTAGGATAGCCTAAGGTAAATATTGTCCTGTCAAATATCCATTTCTGCACCCGGGTTTGCTGACGTCCTTTCTCTTAGCGTCACTTGGCATCTGTTCTCACTGGCACTGGTTTTGCCCCCAAGGAAACAGTAGCCATCTCCTGGGTGAAGATCAGGGTTACTCTACTCGGCAGTGAACTGTTAGTTACAACATCAAGAAGTCATTTTGTACGGACACGATTTATTATCAGAGGTATATGTTGAGATAACAAGTATATGTAACAGACAGCTCTGAAATGTTGCCTCGTTCCACACAGAGCCCACAGCTGTGGATTTAATAATCAAACACTAGGAAAATGCTTACGTTCCCAAAAGGGGACAGGGGAGTGCTTCAGTGTGCAGAACATGGAAGCTTGTCCTCAGCTGCTGTCCTGGGCCTGCTGGTCAGCATCCCTGGAGGTTCCAGGGAAACCGAAGTTCAGACCTACCAAGAGCTCCTCCAACCCGAGGTTCAGTAGCTCTCAGGGGTTTGCACTGTGACCTCTGAGAGGCTTTGCCTTCTGTATGACTGGAGACATTTATTAAAGATGCCAAGTTTTGGGAGCTGGGGAGATAGCTCAGTGGTTAAGAGCACTGGCTGCTCTTCCAGAGGACCTGAGTTTGATTCCCAGCACCCACATGGTGGCTCACAACCATCTCTAGTTCAGCTCCAGGGACTCCAACACCCTCTCCGGCCTCCAAGGGCAACAACAGGCATGATGTTGTGCACTGACATGTATGTCTGGCTGGGCTGTGGCTCCACGTTCAAGGCTTACCTAGCATGTGAGAGGTCCTGGCTTCCATCTGTACTACCACAAGAAAGACAAAATAAAAGCAAAACAGAAAAATTTCACACTCCTTTACCTTTTTATTTAAAAATTTTTCTAAATTTAATTTTTTTTATTCATGTGAATGTTTTTCCTACATGTACACGTGTGCACCATGTGTGTGCCTGGTGCCCATGGAAGCCAAGGCCGGAAGGTATTGGATCTGCTGGAACTGGAGTTACATATGGTTGTGAGCCACTGTATGGGTGCTGGGAACCAAACCCAGGACCTCTGCAAGAGCAGCCAGTGCTCTTCACCACCGAGCATCTCTCCAGCCCCTCCTTAACCCTTTTTATACACAGAAAATCCAGCTGATGTACACACACACACACACACACACACACACACACACACACACACACACACTCATTACTACCCACAAGAAGAACACTAAGTTGTATGTGGGGTGCATGCCTGTGATCCCAGAATTTGGGAGATGGAGGCAGGTAGATTGGGAGTTTAAGGTTATCCTCAGCTGTATGATGCCCTGGCCAGCTTGGGCTGCACGAGACCCCAAGTCAACCAAAGCAAATAAGCAGGGTCACACTGAGCTCTTGTAAACAACTTGCTGTATGCTTTGTAGCAGGCACTTTTGTAAGCAGAGGAACTCTTCCTTCCTTTCCCAAAGGGGCTGAGCTCGAGAAAGCGGGGCTCCTCACAAACACACCAGGAGAGCCCAAGGTCTCTTAAAGGAGAAGACACTTGCCAAATCTCTGTACGTTAAATGGAGCCTGAGATTTAGGGACCAGCAGAAAGAGATGTTTGTAAGTCATAAGGAGACAGTTCTGAGAGCAAAGATTGTCTTCAGAGAGACTTTCTCAACCAAGAAAGTCTTGTAAGATCAGTGAACTGTGGCGAAGGAAGCAAGAAGGAGAGAAGCGTGTGTGGTCTCCAGCCTCTCTATCATCCCATGTCAGGGTGAGGTCATTTTCCAGGAAAAAGGAAGCAGGCTAATGCCCCTAATTTAAGAAGCTCATCAGAAATGGGATGGAGGTAGAGAGGGCTGCCCACCCTCGGAGACCAGCCAGACTAGCCTCAGACCCCAGTGCCCTCCTTTCTTTGGAGTGAGAACCCAGAAGGCAACTGTCTTTGTAGGAGATGTGAACTGAATTCCCATTTCAACTGAGAGGCCTTCCAAGGAGGTCATATGCAGCCCTGTATACTCTGTTGGGATGGTGGTACTCATTCTGTCTACAGAGTACATACTTCTATAGTGTTCCCTGCACTGCAGGACATGCCCGGCCCACTGACTGCATCATGAATGACTTTCCTGGGCTTGCTCAGGACTCTGATGTCTCTGATGGTCTACTTTTTCCTTTGAGAGTTGGCATCTTCTGATTTGTGACATAACTTCTAGAATCCAAACAGTGTTCTCAGTACCTTGCTGGCAATTCAAAGACCCGAGTGCCATGGTTTTGAGAATTTGGAGGGCTATGGAGATGGCTCAGTTGGTAAAGTGTTTGCTTTGCAAGCATGGGGAGCTGAGTTTGGATTCTAGGTACCCACATAAAAAGCCAGGCATGGTGAGGTGTGTCTGTAAGCTCAATGCTGGGGACGTGAAGTCAGGAGGATCCCTGAGGCTTGCTGGCCAGAAAGCTCAGCTGAGTCACGGAGCTAGTGAGAGGCCCTGTCTCAACACAATATCATGGAGAGTGATTGAGAAAGATACTGATTTCCACATGCCTGTGCATACCTGTGCACCTCCATGAAAATGTACATGTATAAACATGAACACACAAACATACACGTTACAGACAGGATAGAACTTTTTGGCTGCAAGAGTGTGAGATGGTCCCTGGCCCCATAAACACTATTCTGTTTCAGATATTCCTTTCAATCGCACATGGATTTCAAAGCCAGTTTCAGAAACACATTGCCTTCAGGGATGGGTTTCACGGGTGCTTTGTGGGGATGCTGCCGCCTTCTGGTTCCCACATGGGGACTGTCACAGCTGTTATGATAGGCCACAGCCTCCAGGGCATCAGGGACAAAGTGCTGCAGGAGGGTCTGAGATGGTTAGGAGCAAGCATTTACATTGGCCCTTGATGTTTTAGAACACATCTGTGGCTGCTTCAGGAGAGAAACCATAGCAACATGTGGGGTTGAACTGTATGGCGTTGAGCAGGTCAGCAAGGCTAAGTGGATTTTTGTAGCTGCAAAGTTCTAGCGCATGTGAAGTGGTAACTTCAAAGGTGGGGCAGTCAGGGAAGCAAACGCTAACAGGAAGGTGGCTGAGAAGGGAGATTTTGTTTTCAGTGTGAGTAAAGGCTTGGGACTAGGTGGTAGGGACTACGTACTGATGGGTGTGCACCGCTGTGGCTGCCGTTAATGTCACTGAAGTCACACTTAACACATAGCTTTAACCACATGAAGAATCTTAAGTCACACATTTTGTCACAACACGAGAAAAACAGTTTTTAAACACTATGAAAAGATACAAACTTATAGTTTGAATCTAGTTTGTTACCGCTGAAAGACACATTGAGATTTAATTGGCCCTATAAGTATTAAGAGGTGATGGGGCCTCTGTGTGCACACTGAGACCCATTTACCTGTGTCATTAATGAATTAGTGGGTAGTGGGTTACCTCAGGGTAGATCTGCTACCACAGGTACAGCCCCCATGGCTGGGGAGTTCCCCGCTTCTTGCCTAGATGCTCTGCCAGCCTCTGGGTTCTGCCAGCATGGAGGCTGCCATCAGATTGCTGTCTCAGCCTTGGCCCAGACTCTTGAGCCAAAATAAACCGGCTTCTGGACAACTTTCACCATTTGTGGTATTGTGTTGTTAATGATGGGAAATGTATTAGGAAATAGCTCAAAAGCCGATTGGAAAACAAACAGCCAAAGGTTAGATGCAATATGATCCTAAAGATTCACCCCAGAAAAGCAGGAAGGAAGAAAGAAGGGGAGCCATGAGTGCCAGCCGCTGAGCTGTTGTTAGCTCCAGCCAGTGGGGTGGCTGAGCCTCCCAGGAGAAGGGGATAGAGCCAACGGCATTCGGTATTCGGTCACAGGAGACACATTGCATTGATTTAGTTGTGTGCATGTGGTGCTGCGGGTCAAACCAGAGCCTCGAGCATACTTTATAGGCTAGCACTGAGCTGTCTCCCCAACATGAAGAGACACAAAATATAAAGACAGGTGGCCTGCAGGGGAAGCCAGGAAGGAGGAGGGCCTGAAGGCTGGGGAGCTGCTATTAATACAAGTGGTTCGTGGAGGTCACGGGGTGGGGGCAGGGAGTGGGGGTGGGGTGGGGACATTTCATAGCAATGGAAGTCCATTTATCAGAGAGATAGCATACTGTGCAGGGAGGGACCTTACAAAGAGCTTAGCTATTGAGAGACAAAGTTGACATGCACAGGTGGACACGTCCCCAAGTATAGCATTACTCAGATTTTCACTCCAGGACTGTGCAAGTGTGGAAACCCAGGCTCACTCCCCACCAACTTCAGGCACTCTGTGTGGACTTGCCCAGAAATCAGGAGAAAAGCCCTTTCCCTTGCTGGCCTCAGCGTCCAACCTCAGTGTCAGTGTGGTGGGCGTGGCCGGGAGGAGCCTGGTCTGTGAATCATGACTCACAGGACCACTCACCTGTGACCTGAAAAAGCCATCAACTTGTTGAACTCTAGTTTCTGTAAACATCAGGAGGCAGTTACAAAACACATGCAAAAGGTACCTATCAGCTGTTGTTTAAGAGTGTCTCTAACTTGGAGCCAGTTACTCCTCCTCTTACTCTTCGGTTTTAGAAATTTTCAAGATTTTTGTATAAGCTCCTGAAAAAAAAAAAGATAAATTATTGTTGAATACAATATTGAAGAATTACCCTCCAACTAAAATAAACAAGAGCATATGGAAAAAATGTAAGGGAGGAGGCTAGATTTGTGTGTGGACATGTTTATATGTTTATGTGGGTATGTACATGCCGGTGCATGCCTGTGTGTGTGTGTGTGTGTGTGTGTGTGTGTGTGTGTGTGTGTGTGTGTCTGTGTCTGTGTCTGTGTCTGTGTCTGTGTGTGCATGTGTATGGAGGCCAGAGCAGTTTTTTCCTTTATCATTAATCACCTTATTTTCTGAGACAGGGCCTCTTGCTGGTCCTGGAACTTGCCTATTGAGCTAAGCAGGCTGACTGATGATGAACTTCAGGGATCAGAAGTACCAACAGAGGTAGGGTTGCATCAATTTTGGATGTGGGTGGTAAGGAATCCAAACTCAGGCCCTCGCCTGTACAGTAGGCACTTCAAGTGAGCCATCTCCCTGGCCCTTTGCAAACACCTCTAGACTTCTGAGTTTTGAGTAGGAAAACTTTGTGTTGAACATCTGCAGTAGCTTGATTCCCTTTGAGCCTCCTCTCCTCCACCCTTCCCTTCCTCGTCTCCTCAAAGTTGGACCCATATGGACCAGATACAGGTCTAAAAGATGCCAGCTCCCATATCATGGCATTGGTCCCCAGGAAATGGCTGGCCTCTATCCCCAGGGGTCCCAGGGCTCAATAAGTTAGCCTGGGAAGCCAGTCCATAGGGATTCCTGGAGCCTGCTGTGTCTCCCCGGCTGCTGGTGCTCACAGCCTTGTCTCTGCTAGCCCTGGAGAAAGGGAAGCTGGCGGGCTAGCACAGGGCCATAGGAACACTGACCTACAGAGGCCTGTGGGGAAGCTGCTTTGTGCTGTGCCTGCAGGTTTGGTCCTCCCTGTCCTGATTTGGTGATTCAAGGCCACTGTGTCAGGGGCATTTGTTTGATTGAGTTATTGATTTGTGCTTTCAGTGTCCCTTCTGAAATGGGAACGGGACGTGGCTGCCACCATTGTCCTTTGGTATGGTCCTGGAGCATAGCACCAGGGCATAGGTAGATGAAGCTTTAGCTTTGTGTCAAAGATCCTGTGGGCTGACCTAGCTGACAACTAGGATGTCGTAGTAGAGAGATGTTATGTTGCAAGCCAAAATGACCCTGGGTGGTTTCAGGCCCTCCATTTGCTTTCAGCCTCATTATATGATCCAACATCCTTGTAAACATCTAGGAAAACAATACTGCTGAGCTGAGCAGACCTCTGGGCTCCATAAGCCCTAAAGCTAAGAATGTTGATCTGTGGCCCAAGACAAGTCTTCACATAGTGTGGTCCAGAGAAAGAGAAAAGTTAGAGAAGCCTGTGAGCCAGAGAACACTGAAGCCTAGGGCAGGCTTTTCCATCTCTGCTACTGTGTACCCTCTGGCTTCTTCTGCCCCATATCATTGTTAATGCGTTGATTCACTGTTTTCTCTTGTTCTGTGACTATAAAGGTTTGTGTCTCTTCCTTCATGATGGAACTTGCCACTCAGGGTAACCTGAACCCATGTTCCCTGGGCCATGGTCACTCTGACTTCACTCACAAATAACTCTTTCCTTATTTTCTTTAAGGCAGAATCATTTAAAAAAAAAGTTATTTATTTATTTAATGTGTGTTCTGGCTAGTTTTTTTGTCAACTTGATACAATCTAGAATCATTTGAGAGGAGGGAGCCTTAATTGAGAAAATGCATCTATAAGATCAGCCTGTGAACAAGCCTCTAGGGCGTTTTCTTAATTAGTGATTGATGTGGAAGTGCCCAGCTCACTGTGGGTGGTGGCATCCCTGGGCTAGAGGCCCTGGGTGCTTTAAGAAAGCAGGCTGAGCAAACCATGGGGAGCAAGCCAGTAAGCAGCACTCCTCCATGGCCTCAGCATTAGCTCCTGTCATTCCTGCTTTGAGTTCCTGCCCTGAATTCCCTGGATGATGGACTACAAACTATAAGATGAAATAAGCCCTTTCTTTCCCAAGTTGCTCTTGGTCATGGTGTTTAATCACAGCAATGGAATCCTAACTAAGACAATGTGTATGTATGGGTATGCTGGAGTGTACATACATACATACATGTGTGTGCAGTGCCCATGGAGGCAAAAGACGATGTTGGCTCCTCTGGAATTAGAGTTCCAGATGGTTACGAGCCATATAATGTGGGTGCTGGGTTATCAGGGAGTAGTCATCCTTTGTCCAAAGGGGAACCCAAGACACAGGAAGTCAGCATGTGGAGACAGTCTGAAGGGACCTTAGAGTCTTCTGGAAGAGCATCCTGTGCTCTTAGCCACTGAGCCACCTTTCCAGCACGCTGAGCCATTATTTTCCACGTCAGTGCAGACATCTACTTTCTCCTTTTCGATTTCTATTTCAAGACAAGGTACCAAATCTGCAAGTGGAACCCCTGTGAATCAGTACTGCACCCTTTTTCCTGCAGGCAGCCACCCTGCAGGTACTGGGTACTGGGTAGCCAGCTCCCTGGGCTACCCACAACAAGGCTTCAAAAAGACCCTCCTCATCAAAGATACAGGCACCTGGCTGATTTCTTTTGTCTTTTCTTGTGCAAACATGAACACAAGTTTAATAAAAAATATCCACCTGAAAATGTACTTTACACTGCTCTCTAGCCTCACCTCCTCCCTTGGCTTTCCTTTAGACACTAACAAACCGATTGGAGAAAGGGTTAAACATCCTACCAGTGTTGGCCCGGTGAATTAGGAAACTGGGAAAGCCATGAGTTTCGGGGCTCAGGCATCACATACCATGTGTGTATATGGAATATGATCAAGCAATAAATCAGCAGGGTTGGGCTTCTCCTTCAAGCTGATTGTGTTAGTGCTAAGTCACTTTTCCAGCCAGGAGTGAGCACTGAGCCTGAGGACCTCTCGAGAAGGAATCTTAGCAGAGAACACTTAAATATGCCAGATTACATGTTATGAGAGACATGTGCAGTTTGCCTTGCACTTCATGTGTATAAATGCGGGGTCATAAATGCCACAGTACATGTGGAGGGCAGAGGACAGTCCTGCATGTTGCTTCCCATCTTTTTGTCTTTAAAACAGGGTCTCATTGTTTTAACGCTGTGCATGTCAGGCTAGCTGGCCTGTAAGTTTCTGGGATTCTCTTGTCTCTACCTCCCATCTCCCTGTAAGACCACTGATATTATAGCTGATTACACTGTAAATCCAGTTTTTACGTTGGATCTGAGGATTCTCAGGTCCTCACACTCGCATGCTAAGCCTTTTATCCACTCAGATATTTTCCCAGCTCTGTGTCCATTCATTTAAAGTTATAGTTCTAGAAACGAGGCTCCTGGGAGTTGTGTTATTGTTGAAGGCTGATCTCAACTGACCGACCGACCGACCATTCTCTGCAAAGCAATAGCGGTTCCTCTGGTGACTCCTGCTTTTTTCTCTCCATGCCTGTAGTCTTCCTCCTGTTTCCCTCCACTGCTTCCCTCTCTTCCTCTGGCTCACAAGTGTTTACAGCCTAGTACGCCCCCCACCCCACTGGGCTAAACCCTTTGAAAACAGACATGATTAATCTCCATTGCCAATTTGACTTGGTTTGCTATCACCTAGGAGACGCACCTCTGAGTGTACCTGTGAGGCTGTTGCTAGGGAGGTGTAGCTGAAGAGGGAAGACTCACCCATCCCGGGCTGGAGTCCCAGACAGAATAAAAAGGGGAAAAGGAGAGAGGACCTGAGCACCAGCACTCATACCTGCTTCCTGGTACACCGTTCTTTCCTCCACATGATGGGCTGCATTTCTCTGAACCCCAAGCCAGTGCAAACCCTTCCTCCCATAGGCTGCTTTTCGTCAGGCATCTGGGAGCAATGATAAGGAAAGCAGCCGATACAGCAGGGGGCATGTCCGGGGGTCATCTTTGGGGTCCCCATGATAGCAGGCGTAAAGGAGCGCTCTGACTTTGTCAGCGAAGCTCGGAGTGGCATGACTCCAAGTTGTGGCTAGGTGGGACCAACTGGACCATCAGAACAGGGTCAGTGCCCTTCCTGGGCTTTCACCACAGACCTTCAGGCCCAGGTCCACCGGCATGTGATGCCTTTGTTGACTCCTTGCCATCAGCCTTCTTGGCAGAGACAGCTCTGATTTGGGGTGGTGCCTGGTAGGCAGGGGCAGTACGTGTGTGCTCTGGGGTGACATTGATGACAGTGCCTGGCAGGGTTACATCACAGGGGCTGATGACCTTTCAGTGACGCTAATGCTCTTCTTAACCTCAATTGAAAAAAATCATCGATTTGTTTCTGACCCCTTTGATTGTTGTAGGATATATTTGTACAGAACCAGTTTCTCTGGTCTGGGGGTCTGCTAAACTTGACCTTTTCTGTTTGGGAGGGGAACAAAATGGTTCTCACAAAGTTCCTGGCACATCTTTTCTTTCCCATCTATAGTCAACATGAGGCACTCCTCAGGACTGAATCTATTAATTTGTTTTAAGAACTAGTCAGCCAGGGCCAGGCCTATCATTCAAGTTGAAGGCAAACCTCAACTATGTAACATAGCTTGAGACCAATCTGAGCTATGTGAGACCCTGTCTCAAAAAACATACAAACAATGAAAAGGAAAAATAACCAAGGATTCAGGTGTTTTAAACAAACCTATCCATGTATTAGTTATTTGTATGTGTGTATGCCTGCATGAGTTCATATGCACCACATATGTGCAAGGAGTCCATGGAGACCAGGAGAGGGTGTCAGATCCCCTGGAACTGGAATTACAGGCGGGTATAAGCCCCTTGGTGTGGGTACTGGGCACCAAACACTAGCACTATGTGAGAGCAGCAAGTGCTCCTAGCTGCTGAGCTGTCTCTCCAGCCCATTGATTTGTGAGGTTTGTTTTCAGACAGAGCCTTACTATGTAACCCTGGCTGGCCTAGAACTTACCACCAGGCTGACCTTGAACTCACAGAGATCCTCCTGCCTCTGTCTACCGAAAAATGGGATTAAGAGTGTGTGCCACCACATCTCGCTGGCATTTAGAGTTTATGAAGTAAATTGAGGATGCCTCTTTGTCTAATGTATCACTGCCTAGGTGCCTGCTAGTCAAATGATCCAGGGCCCTCATGTTTCCAGCCCCCTTCTCACTCAGTTTCTTAAGTTGCCACAGGGAGTACCTGTAATGAATGCAGCACTGGATCCTTCCTTCAGTCAAGGTCCTTTCTGTCCCCAGCTCCTCTGCTCACTTCCAGGAAGCCAGGGCTATCCGAGAGAGGCCCTTCACCCCACCCGGTCACTCCAGGTCCTCTCAATACCTGTGTCCATTCCTCTCTCAGTTCCCTGGGTTTAGAGAGTAAGACATCCCTGCAGGAAGACTTCTGGGGCACAGAAGGGAATTACATTGTAACAATAATGAAAAGCTGTGGGGGTGTGAACAAGATGGAGTGGCCTCTGCTCCCCTGTGAGGATGGAGACCACTTTCTATCCTCACGCCGTGATGTTGAGTACCTAGGCCTCAGCCTCACCGTGCCAGAAGCTACCTGAGCTCAGATCTGAGTGACCAGGAGGCCCACAGGAGGACCTCCCTCCCACACCACTCCTGGGGAAGGGCCTCCCTTCCTGCCCGGGCTCCTTGGGAAGGGGCTGCCCTGTCCAGAGCCCCAGCCCAGGGGCCCCAGCTTCAGTTTCCCGAGTCCAACCAAGGTCAGGAGGTTTTAAGTGAAAATGTCCGGAAAACTGTAATTTGAGGTTTTAGTTCATGAGTGGTGAGATAAAAATCTCTGTCCTGTCCAGGATCTGAATCATCTTTTGTCCAACACGACCAGGCTGCCAAACCCCCCATTTCTGTCCCCCATTCCCATCTGCCACAGGTCAACTGTTGCCCATCCAGTGCTGGTTCTTACGTCATGTAAAGATGGCTCAGGGCCTGTGAGGGAAAGCTGGCCACTAGAGATGCCAAAGAGAAAGTGAGAAGCCGGAAAGAGCTGCCTTCGGGAGGAAAGATGGAGCCCCTGACCTGCTAAGGAGCCTACGCCCAGACTCCACTCTGTGAGGCCACAACTCAAACTGAGGGGCTTGTACTCCAGCGCTTGGGAGGGTGGACGGCACTGACAACTGGGAATCTTTTGTAAGGAAGAGTGGTCACTTCTCTTGTTAGTTTACTCAGTCACTTTGGGTTTGATTGGTTTGGAGGACTTGCTGAAGATGGACTTGGGGCTGTGTCCTTCCTGGCCACTCCCTGTCATGTATTGCCTTCAGACTCAAGCGTATCGCTTGTCAAGTGGCCTGGACCTCAGATGCTGTCTGGTGGCTCCTGCTCTACCTCTGCTCTTGTGTTTTGGGAATATTGCCTGTTTTCTGGTACTGGCTTCTTTTTATTTCTGAGTGTGTGTGTATGTGTGTATGGAGGACCAAGGACAATGTCTGATGTACTCCCACTTTATTCTTGAAATATCAGATGCCTTTCCATCTTTTTTTTTTTTTTTTTGAGACAGTCTCTCTCACTGGCCTTTCTTTTTTATTTATTATTTGTATCTGTGAATGTGTGTGTGTGTGTGTGTGTGTGTGTGTGTGTGTG